TGATCTAACTTTGTGGTCCTCTGACTGGATCCAGCATCTATGTGTATAAATCTGACTGTTGGGATTCTTGTTTACATATTTGACGAAGGTCATCTAGACTGAAAGGTCATGTTAAATAAATATTAAATAAATCAGCAGTAAGTGAGACAGTTTGTGGGTGTTTTGGGGATTCATGTTTTGACTCATGTTTAGTCTATTTAGCAATATGACCGGCATTTTCACGACAATAGGACTGCAAGTAAACTAAACACTGCAGCTGTTTATGTTAAGACATCCAGAGCAACCGTTTTTTTTTTCTTATTTCTTGAACATAGATCCACTTAGAATAAACCCCAGGATCATGTTTTATGTGAAGTATTACAGTAGAGGAGGTTAACTCTCTCTAAAGACAATTTAAAGCTAGACTATGTAACTTTTGTTGAATAGCAGCCACTGTGACCAAAGGCCAGAAGGGTGTCACAAAGATGTTTTACTCTGGTCGGCAGTGGCTCCCTACCTCCAGGGTAAAAGAGCCATGTTTCCATGGTAACAGTCAGTGACACCTGCTGACCAGTGACACCAAATGACAAAAAAAGAAACAAGGAAAACATGGCTCATAACTTGTGGTTTGCTAACAATGCAATGAGAAGGAATTTGTTTTAGAGTTTTTAGACATGGCGGTAACCTGATGGAAATATACAGCAGTGAGGAGGTTGTTCATTTGTAATGTGACTGACGACGAAGCTGCAGCAGCTCGGCCACAAATAGGGGAGTAGGGCCAAAATAATTCGGGATATTATTGCAGTATCTTCGTCAAATTTATTGTCAAAAAATGTCATCTTTAACTTTTATTGTTTTGTCTCTTTTTTGACAAATTAATTAAGACTGAAAATATGAGTGTAGGGAGGTGGAGAGAAAGTCTGTAACCACGACTGTGCAGAAGCGAACAAAAATAACAATTACACTGAGTTTGAAACACAAAGTGAGAACAGAAAGAGAAAGAGATTATTTAAGAGGATTATTTACACATTATTTTCATATGTGAATTTTTAACATGATGTCAATATTTCATTCTTTAAATATCACGATTCTGTGAATACCTGTCTATCACAACACACCTACATATGCATTGTTTCACTCTTCATTGAATTATACCGCTAAAATGTTCTTATATCTGTTAAAACAATTTTTTTTTCTTTAGATGAGCAGCTTGATATGGTTGCTGAGTCGGCCATGGTTTTTAGTTTGAAAAACAAACAAACTTTGTGGTTTATGGCAAAATTAGTCTCATTCAAGAATTAAACAGCCTATAAGTGTATTAGTTAGACTTATACAAAGTCAAAGTCTGCCTTTGTGAAACCAGCCCTAAAAGTAACAATAGAAAATGGTAAATGCTAATAAAATATAAAATATATAATATAGTCGTAGTCGAAGTAGATAAGCCTCATAAAGTCAGCAAAGTGACCTTTCATTAGCTAACATTAGCCACCATAAGCTACCGGTCATACCAGACCAAGTAAGGCTGTAGCAGCGAGTTTATTGAATAAAGCAAGAATGCATTTAATTACTTATGTATTCAGCTTTTAATTTGCTAGAGGCGAAATGTGTTATTTCAAAAAGTTACATCGTCTTGCTTTAACAAAACCTTTTAAGGTTAACTGAACAGGGACTGCTGTGACTGGAAATAATTTAATCTGTTTACTGATACTGATATTTCCATTAAGTGACATCCAGGGTCAACAGAGGGTCAACAGATTCATTTAATCCAACACACAATTATTGGACATAAAGAGATATTAGGGATAGAATTATAGGATATTTGAGCTACAGTAGTCGGCTGTTTCCTATGTTAATGAACATATCATAATAGAGTTATGTCAAATAGTGGATCTGAGTCAAAACTGACAGAAAACACCATAATTCAAGTGGGTACAAAGAGGGTTTTTTTGTGTGTGGAAAAAGAGTCTCTGTCACACTGTCTCCATAGACAAAGACATTAAACAGAGAAAAAGACACTTTAGGATTTGGAAATCTTTTCTGTTGCTCTCAGTGACTCAACAGCTTCCTATGGTGAAAAACTGTAAAGCAGAGACCTGAGGCATGGAAAGTAACAGAGACAGAGTGATTCAGTGAAAGTGAATGGCCCTGACTCCCCTACCCATCACTGAAGGGGGAGAGGTTGAAGGAAGAAAAAAAAAGAGCAGTGAAAGGACGGAAAGAGGGGGGAAATGACTGGCGACTGTGTGGGAAGAGAGAGAGAGAGGAGGGGCTTAAAAAGTATGAACTTGTGTATGATTAAGCTGCAGGAAGCATGAAGAAGGGAAAAGACTGCAAACGGGACGCGGTATACTCACTCTTTTAGCCTTTTAATGAGGACGAGTTGCCTTATGGCTTCTCACAGGGTGACTTTTTCCACCGGGTCACACTTTTTCTAGCAGCGCTCCTTCACTCCTGAGAGTTGTCTTGTTAATAAAATCCGGAGCATTCAGCCTGAACCCCGTGCTGTTTTTCCTCTTTCCACCGTGCGTAATTATCTCTCCAGGATCGAAAAGAAGGCGACAACACAACAACACGAGGACGAGGGATCAAGACAGACATAAAAAAAAATAATAAAAAAAACAACTGGGGGGGGAAAATGAAAGCCGTCTTGGATATCTGCTGGATTTTCCTCATGCTGCACACTCCCGGCGTGCTGTCCTTGTCCACACGTAAGTTGCACACAGATGTCCATCGATGCGCAAAGTCGTGGTCTTGGCTGGGGAAGGGTTTTTGGTTTGGGTACAGGGGGCTGCCTTTTTGGTCCACAAAGATTAGTTTAATCCATGTGTCACCCGAAGATCTTAGTGTAAACAGCTCAGTGTGACACTGTCCTGCTCTGGTATGCAGGTTTTTTAAAGATAATGCAGTTGGGAAATGGATTTTATAATAGTACAACACGCTTCAATGCAAACATCACAGATAAACTATAAACCTTGGTAATGGTATTGGAGGAATATTTTAATGTTATCAATATGGGGGATAAGAAGCATATTTTAAAAGGGTATTAGTCAATATAAACATTACAGAAATACTACAAGCCCTGATAAGATCATAGTGATGTCATGTGGGATAAAATTACTGTTTTGGAAGGATATTGCATAAAACCTGCAAGCCCTGATAATAAAATGATGGAGATGTTATAGTGATTTTTAAAGAGGATAAAACCCTAAAGGGTTGCTCTTACTCCACTAAAGAGTTCCAAAGATACAGGGTTTCCATAGGAGGAATAAATCAACATAAGATTATGTAAATCCCTTATAAGGAAGACATAAGCTTCGCAGTGATCTTTCATGGGGGAATACTGCATTTGAAATATGTTTCCAGTGCTAAATAACTGAACAGATTCCTTCCTGAGCTGCTTTACATAATAAGGATCCAACTCTGGCTGGTTTCTGGACACAGTGAAAAGGGACAAATGCCACTTTGTCCACCTGACACCTCCTGTTGTTGATATGCTCCTGCTGAAGTATACTGGTTGTATCCCTGCAGAGAGGACTCATCTCCCAGGAGGCTGAATTTCAACAAGTCAGGCCATAATTCGTTTAACACATGGAGGGCAAGGGGGCTTTACGAACCGCAACAAAACAGTGACATCATTTGCTCGGGTTTTGGAGAATGTTAACCGGCAGCTTAATGCACAGTAACGTAAATAAATCAAAGTTATGTCCGCTTCCCCCGTTAAGTGGCTGGATTAGTTTTTATGGTGAGCTCACTGGCAAAGAGCAGCTCCTCAGAGAGGATCTCCTGTTATTCATCCTGTTTGAAAGGCGCTAATAAAAGAAAGTATACTTTTAGGGGATTATAGAAGACAATGGGCCTTGGTCATAAACTGCCCTGCTGTTTATTATAGGCCCTAATAGGTCATTACTGTTTTATTCACTGTAATGATGGAGGGTGCTTCCCCTTCATTCAGTGTGCTGTGGTTTACAGATGCCACTGAAATAAAAACAGTTTAAATGTGGAATTTTCTTACTAACATATAATTAGATTTTAGTGCAGCTCATAATGCCACAAAGTTTGAGTTTATATGTCCTGCTAGCGTATAAAAGGGGTATTTATATTGGATATGATCATTTAGTACCAAAGATTTCACTCTAAAAACAAACAAAATCCTGAAAAAAATGCTTTTTAACTCGAAATGAACTTCTCATATCCTACATGTCCCATTTCTCCTGCCTGTGCTTGCCCTTATTTGAATTTGATGTTAGACAAGATGATCCCTCCTCTCCACAGATAAGAGTCTCAATTAAATTAACCTAGAGCATAAATGTATTAAAAAAAAATTGAAAAACATCCACCGCTGTCTCCTCAATCTCCCTTCAGATGGTGTTGCATGGCTCATTGTCACTAAATGTTGCGTGACTTCTTCCACTTGGCTCGTCCACACTAGCCCCTCAAAATGTTCCACATGTACGTCTATTGTAGAGCAGACAGAGAAAAGTATAGGCTTTCTTTGAACCGCCGCATGGATGAGTCAAGAGTAAATAGGTCTTTAGAAAACAGGAGGGGATGTCATGTACCTTTGAAGACTGACAGCACAAAGAAAAGTGTTTTCAGACTTAAAATCAGCCCTAAATGTCACTCAGACCTCCTAAAAATTAAACATTTTTCTTGCTCCTCATTACATCCTCCACTATTGCAGGGGTAAACTCCCCTGCCCCGATCAGAGTTGTGCTTCAAGCACCCTCAGCTTCTCCAAACAAATAACATTTTACAAGCCATTTCCTCCAGTGAGCGTGTCGAGCAGAGACAATAAACAGGAGTAATCGCATCTATCACTGAAGTGTTTGAACTGTAGAATACTGGGTGTAAGGGGGCTTCACACCCCGCTCCAGGGCAATGTCCCGTCCTCTGCGTCCGGAATACATAAACACTGATTGTTATTCAGCTGGATCAGCATATTATTGGCTAATCATGGTCTGCCTTTTGGTTCGCCGTATCTGGTGACAAAGACAGCCGCCCTCTGTGCATATGTTTGTTTGCGTTCATGTGTGTGCATAAATGTATGAAAGTATTGTGTCAAAGCTCCAGTCGGGGTAGTGAGATTAATATTGGTGTGGAGTTACAGTTGATTTAACTTCTTCAAAAGCCCACACAATGTCTGTAAGCGTAAGGTGGCTGGCAGCTCAATAGATGTGCCCCCGGGCCCCAGATTTGTAGTGGTCTGACAAAGTGTTGACACTCTCACTCGCTCACTGCTCTGTCTTTTCTGCATGGAAATCCTTTTACTTACATGTTTTCATAGAGCTGTCTACTCAGGTGGGCAACATTTTCCTTTAAAATCCTCCAATCTGAAGAAATAAACTTGCTCTCTGAATCTCTTCTCTTCTCTTCTTCTGGAGCATTCTTTACTCGTACTAAGGGTCAGCAACCTTTACTATCAAAAGAGACATTTCGGCCAACAACAATCAGTTTGGAGCGGCAAAACATATTTGAGCCTGATAATGCTAATTTCTAGCTGCAGATCAAGCATACCAGCAAGCATCTTGGTTGTGAAAGCAAACAAATCGGCTCATGCGATATTAAATTTTCTTTTATTAGATTTTGAATCCATAGTTAGCCCAGCCTGGGAGACTCAAAACTAGTTGTTTTTCCAAAGTCTAGTCTTTAAAGGTCCAGTGTGTAACAATTAGGAGGCTCTATTGTCAGAAATAGAATATAATATTCATAGTATGTTTTCAATTAGTGTAAAAAAAAAAATAAACTCCACCTGAATATTAGGAATCATTTGTTTTTCTTTAACCTTAGAATGAGCAGTTTTTAATCTAACCAGAATGCGCAGGTCGTCTTCGAGTCCAACATGTCTAACTGCCATGTTTCTACAGTAGCCCAGAAGAGACAAACCAAACACTGGTTGTAGTTAGAGCCTTTCGAGTTTTTTTTGCGAGTTTTGCAGCCACCGTAGTTTCTCCTACACCATCTCCAAGTCCGTTCTCATTCCCAAGGCGTCAAACACAGACACATTCGTGCACGTAAATTGCAATCTGAAAACTTCACTGCTTGACGCCACTAAATCCAACACACTGGACCTTTAAAGGCATCCTCCAGCGATTTAGTATGACGACTCCATAGAGTGATATCTTGAATTGTAGTCCCTAGTATGGATCCAAACACTGGATCCTACATATCCCATAATGCAACTGTAAAGCATATTTTAGTAGTCCACCTTTATCTTAAAAAACCAATGTCCAATATTTGAAGGTTCAAGCCTAAACTCATAACCCTGGATTACATCACTATGACATCATCAGGGTTATTTCCTTAGAAAGGTCCGTCCAGAGCCACGAAGGACATTATACGGCTGATTTCACATGCTGAATAGCGCTCTAAGTGTTGAGTAAACTGACCTTCGAGTGTAAATTTGTTCTCATCAACTCTCCTCCTCTAATACCCATCTCCTCCAGATGTAGCAGTAATCTACCCCCAGGACCCCGTCCTTCGCATGGGGTCCAATCTAACCGCCAGCTGTTGGGTTCACTCCGACCTCGGTGTCCACGCCAGCTCTCTGTTCTGGACACTCAATGGTCAACAGCTGCCTAGCTCCCTGTACCGAGTGCTCAGCCCGACAAACCTCAGTGTGACGCTGGCTGGGCTCAACGCCTCGAGGCAAACGTCCGGTGACAACCTGGTCTGTCACAACCACAAGGGACACATCTTGGCGGGCTCCTGCCTCTACGTCGGGAGTAAGTTGTCAGTGGTTATATGATTTTTCAGCTTTTATTCAGTAGTAGTAGGATGTGTTTATTTGGCCACAATTTCTGAGACAGGAACTGTCATCATTTGTCTCTCTGCTTCACTCTTAGTAAGGAAAAGTGTAAATACAGGGCAGAACAGGAGCAAGAGTAGTTGCGCAACAAAGAGGAGAGAGGAATGAAAGGGAAATGCGGAATAAAGGAAGACAACGAGGAAGTAGTGGGCAGATTTTTAAGTGTCCCTACACAGTTGTGGCTGTATTTTATGTTTAGTATTCCTGCCTTCAGGCCAGTGAGAGGCCTCCATGAGTGTGTCACTCTGTGACGCTTTGACCACCTGTGTGGTCCATTACTCGCATAATCATTCATAGGGCATGGGTCATAATAAGACATTTTACACAGACGCGATGGGACCAGCATTTACATAATGCGTTACCTAGCCCCTAAATATTTATGTTACCTTCCAGAAGTAGTTTGACATTTTGGGAAGTATGCTTATTTGTTTTCTTGCTGGGAGTAGGATGAGTAGACGATGCGATCTCATGTCTTTAGGATAAATATTAAGTTACAGCCAGCAGCTGGTTAGCTTAGTATTAGCACATCTGGCACATAACCACTTAACACTGGTTTTAGGTTTAACAACTGCGATATAGTATGTTAATTAGGGAGCTTAAGAGGTGCTGGTAAGACAGTCGGGCTAGCTGTTTGCCTCTGTTTCCAGTCTTTGTGCTAAGCTAAGCTAACAGTAGCTAAATATTGACTATACAGAGTGAAAGTGGTATCTTTTTTAGTACCCTGACCACTAAAACTAAGCCTTAAACGATGATTCTGTTTATTACAACTTTGGTCTTGTAGTTTTGGCCATGATTTCTGTTGGTTATGATAACATTGTATCAACAAAGTAATTGTAATCACTACAGTATAGTCTGACAGGGCAAGAAACAATGATTAAACACTTTACTTGGAGGTAAAGTTGAAATTTTCAGGAGTCACAAAAATGTACCCATGAAGAAACACGTGCTTTCATTTTCCCAGACACACACACACACAACACACACACACACCACAAGACAAGGAGATGCAGTCGGGATCCTAAATCTCTGTGCGACACTGGTGTTGAGCACCCTGGTGTTCTGAGAGACGAGGAATGTTGGCAGGGATCCCGAGTCGGACCAAATCAGACACACACACACACACACACACACACACACACACACACACACACACACACACACACACACTGAGACACTCACACACACACCAATTAAGAAAAAAACCACCAATTTCTGAGGAACATCACTAGTGGGTGAATTACACTCAGGAGGAAGGGTCTGAAGTAATGGCTGGAGGTAACTCTGTACCCTCAATGACCCCACATCTTCCCTTCTCCTTACTTTCTCTACCTTCCCTCTGTTCTAATCTCCCTTCTCTTCACCCATGTCTCTCTCTCTCTCTCTCTCTCTCTCTCTCTGTTTCTCTCTTTCTGTCCCAGTGCCTCCAGAGAAGCCGGTCAATCTGACCTGCTGGTCCAGGAACACCAAAGACCTGACTTGCAGCTGGGCTCCAGGAGGAAAAGGAGAGACCAACATTAGCACACAGTACACTCTCAAGTACAAACTCAGGTATGCTCAGGTCATTCCATTCACAACGGTATCTGAAAATCAACTTTTCTTGGGAATTAAACATAAACCTTTAGAACAAAATTGACGCTATTTGACCCAAACACACACATACCGCTGTAATTAGTACAACTTCCTCTTTCGAATAATGACTGATTTTGAGGATAGAAATCCATAAATCCATTTAAATATTTCTAACTTTTTAGCATTTACACCATCAATATATATTTATGTAACGCTATCTTGGGTGACATGTTTAGCTGTGGTTGCTGGAGGATAAACTTCCCAGAATCCAACAAAGCAGGATAGATATGCTAACATTAACCTTATCTCTGATATAGTAGCATCCAGGATGCATCAGTGGATGTGCTTGCCATGACTTTATATCTTGCATTTTGGTTTTAGATGTGTGTTACTCTTACTGCAGATCCATGAACATTGTTTCAACATGTGGAGAAATCCAAAGTTTCACAAGCTTGCCATGCTAAGCTATGATTGGCCAATTGGGTGAGGAGACCTTCAGCGAATGGGCAATTGATAACATTTCTGAGTAGCCTAACCTATTCGGAAAATTACAACATGTAGAAACATGTAGGAAACAAAGGGAGTGAAAACCAAGTAAAACAAGCCTTAGATTCAGATGGATGAAGCATCCAACTTGGTAGCCTTATTGCGAATGTTCTCAGTTAAAATCTACATTTTTTGTGAGTTTTCATATGCCTCTAAAAAAGCCCCAGCAGCAAGTTAAACAGAGCTGGAAACAGCACAAAATACCTTATCTCTTTGGCAGAACGTATTTTAAGGAGGAATAACATCAGTGCTTGCCAGAAGGTGAAACCCTTTCAGAAAAGTCAAATTTCACGAGAATTAGGAGAAACAGGTTTTCATCTGGGAATGATACATTTTCAAAAATGAGTTTCAGATGGGTTGTAAGCTCTATTCAAATCTTTAATTGTTAAATCAACTATATAAAAACACCAAAAGTGAAATGACTCGACGTGCAGTGCCCACAGGCACACTAACTGCATTGAAATGTCTTACTGCAGCAAGATTACTGTAAATAAGGACTTAATAAAACCACAAGATCCAGATAAACTCTTAACCAGTAACACATTATACAATAAATTATATATCACATGTATTATTCGAGGATATTGATACTGTCCAGAGTTATTTCAGTACTTTCTGTTTTTCCTCCCAGATGGTACGGTAAGGAGAAGGAGTGTGAGGATTACACTCATTCGCAGCCGTACTCCTGCAGCATCACTCGGGACCTGCACCTCTTCACGCCCTATGAGATCTGGGTGGAGGCCTCCAATCAGCTCGGCCAGGCTACCTCTGATGTCATCACCCTCGACATCCTAGACGTGGGTGAGTGTGAGAAGGAGTGAACTTTGACCCGCTTTCTTGAACTGCTGTATTTTAGAGCTTAGATCCCAATGTCAGTGAGCCCTCAGGTTGTGGTCTAGGACAGTGGATACCAGCCTTTAAGGCTTGGGACCCTTGAAAAGACAAAGCAGTATCTACCTGCGCCCCCTCGTCACAGGTTGTGTCTACAACCTGTAAGTAGTTCACTTTTTAGTGTTGTTAAAGGAAGAATGAAGCAAATAAAAAGAAAACAATGAAAGTCACAATCAAAGATTACTTCATTTAAAGGCACAGTCAGACATTTTGAAAAACGCGCTTATTTCTTTTCTTCCCAAGACTTAGATGATAGTTAGCTTAGCTTAGCATTAAGACTAATCAAGGGTTAACAACTTGACAAATCATAAATATATGCCTTCCAGCACCTCAAAAGCATATTAATTAACACGTTGTATCTTGTTTGTTTAATCCATAGAAAAAACGTTGGCGTGACAGCAACAATTTGTGGTTTTACGGTGGGGGGGTTATGTGCCAGACATTTTCTTGGCCAGCAGCAGTGACTTCAAGTCTTCACAGAGCCAGGCTAGCTGTGTCCCCGTTTCCTGTCTTTATTCTAAGCTCTTAAATTATGAAAACATACACATCATTTTGTGCAGCAGATTCAATGTATTTTTTATAGAACTAGATCCCAAAGGCTTTAAAGATACCAAGTATATCAAAGCTGCATTTTGGGGTAACGTGTATAAAATGAAGAACAATATTGTCTTGGTTTTGAATATTCTTTCCAGCTGGAACAAGCTTCAGTATATGTGATACTGTCAGGCAGTGTGGAAAAAATATTTAATAACCTTGAATGGGGAAACAAGGGTTACAATAATAATAATAGTTACCAGAAATAATTGTGATAAGTGATATTATTGTCATTTTAAGACCATTTTATGCCACTGATATAACGATTAACATTATAATTCGAGTACACCCTTTCAAAGAGCAATTCATTTTTATTTCTTGAGAATATTCAGAAAATGGAATTGGAATATATATAAAAATATTAATATATCCTAAATAACTAAAACAAACCAAAACAGTAAATAAAATGGATTCTCGAGGTCATGTCCATTTATCATACGATAAGTCGATAACGTAATTATTGTGACAGGCCAAGTAAAAACTGTAAGTCAAGCCAGGGGTTTCCAAACATTTTCATGCCAAGGAACCCCCACAATACATACACATTAGACCATGGACCCCAAACTGAGAGAATATAGTCTTATGTTTTCAAACTGGGATCACTATAAATTGCACTCAATCAGAAAAACCCCATTTCTTCCCTTGTTGTTCCAACTTCCAAAAATTTTTCCTTCTGCTCGGGAATTCCTACAACCCACTCAAGGATCCCTGTTGGTTGAAAAACAGTCAAGCGGTTCATTCCTACTCCTATTTATTATCTCAAGACCCATAAGATTTATCTTGTGACCCACAGGTTGTGAACCATGAATGACTTTAGCTTTAGCCTCGAATGGGCTGTCCATAAAATGCTGAAGAAGAGCATCACTTCACTTTATAAATAAATCTCTTATATTCCTACAGACAGGACATTGGCTTGACTTCTGTGGCTTCTTGCTTTTGGAGAAAGTTGTTCACAAGTCTTCATCCAGCTTCACGCTGATAGGAACTGAGCGGTGTTCCCTTTTAAAGCTTTGTTATGTGGTTCCTTGTCTAGCTTAGTGCGGTTTAAGCAAACGGAGCATGCAACAACACCAGATTCTTCTCTTTCCTCATTATCCGCTAAAAAACACTCACACACTCATACACACTTGCATGCACGCACCTGGACAGGCGTAGGTGTGACGAATGGAAACGCCCTCTCTTTTGATGAGCTCATTTTCTCTTTACTCATGCTCACTGGACACACACACAAGAAACACACACAGAAAACACTCGCTAACCCCCTTTAATGTAGAGTTGGAATGTTCCAGACTGATCCTCAAACCTAATCCCATCTCCAAGCCGGCTGCAGACCCCCGAGGCCCGAGGAGTTTGGGCTTTGAGGCTTTAAGACTTGGACCTGAAATAATACAACCTGATTAGCTTGGAGCTCTTCACCTGGTTCACTCCTAACACCCTCCGAACGGTGCCTGGGAAATGTACCGAGAGAAAACCATATAGAGTTTCAGAGGTGAAGGCGTCACTGGCGAGGAAACAAGCGTCCATCAAACTATAATCCTTTTCCGTTCCCTAATGTATGCGCACACACACCTGTTTACACACCCTGGGGGCAGGGCAGGGCCTGGTAACCATATAGAAACAGAGAGGCAGGCAGAGCGTAGGCGGTTTCTGGACTTGTGTGTGCGTTTTTGTTTCTCTCAGGTTGCCCTGGCCATTTTTTTCATGAAAGTTTCCACAACAGCAGAAGGTCATAAAACACAGCAACCACACCTGCGCCGAGCTGCTGTGAGTCACTCGCGTCTACGGTCATGTCTAATCAGTTATGAAGGCGAGGCGGAAACACCTACAGTCTTCTCTGCATTCCTTAGTCACAGGGAACCCTCTGATCTGAGAGACTAGAGGCAACTTGTATTGGTGTCTGACGCTGAGATGAGGATGTGTTTAGGAATGACACAACGATGATTAATCTGTAAACTGTCAGGTCTCATTGACTTTCATCGGCAAATGCATGTAATGTATAGAAACAACACTTGTACTTGTCAAATAACTTTGTCCTCTATTATACATACCATTTGAAAAAAGTCCAGAGGTGGTGAGGTAATAATTTTACAATAAGTCATTTATCCTAGTGTCTGAATATATCTTTGGTTTGGGCTTGTGATTAAGGAATAATTTACTCTCCATTTTTGTGTTAAGACGGATGATTGTGCGTTCCACCGTTGCATTTACGCTTTTTAAATCAACCATTAGTACAAACTGACGCACCTGAAGTAACACAAGTTAGTTGAGCGAGAGACTCCGGTTCCTCCGAACACTGGTGACCAGAAACTAATCCTCTGAAACTCTCGTGTCAACTCCCACTTTTTCCCCTCCACTGAATCTTTCCAGTCTTCTTCTTTCCCCTGGGTTGTCTTGTTTGTTTATTGCTAAGGGATGACATTATGAAAAGGAACTGAAGTTGATATTGAAACAATCTCAAAAGCCCAAAACAAAACGCGAGGAAAGTTAAAATAATGGTCTGTCACCATATGTTTGTTTGTCGAAAAGATAATCGTTGTCAGATGAAAAAGCCTCTTACAGCTCACACAAGTCAACTCTTCAGAAACTAGGAGGCACTCAGAGACCACAAACCTCCGCCAACGCTGAACAATCCTTCAATGTGCTGTTACACATAAAGACATCACTCCTACCGCTTTAAATTTGAATTGAATGGATTTTCTTGACCCCGCAAACATTACTCTAAAATGTAGAAAGAAGCCCCCAAGCGAAGGATATTTGGCTAAAAATGATAATATGGGCCATCTGTCCACCAGAAGTTTATCATTAAGTTCTTAGGATAGAAATATACTTGCTAATGGGTGCAATAAATTAAAAAATACCCCAGTTTGTGCCTCTTGTGAAATCAGTGTTTGTACATTTGAGATTTTGCGCTGATTATGACATTATAGTCACGCAACAAACCACAGCTTTCCTCAAGAATCAATAGAAATCCAGCAGGTTGTTTGGCAACATATACACTCTAATCTTTTTAAAGACATTTATTAAATCCTTAAAACGGCTCTAATTAATATTTTTATTTTAACGATTGTTCAAATTACTGTGTGTTAGTGACTATCTGATGAGCATAGTGGAGCGTCGAGCCGCTAAAGAGCCAGATATTTCCCTCAGGAGTTGGTAGAGACCAAAAACAGAGCTAAAAAGGGAATGTTGGACTAACATTTGGCAGGAGGACAGTGACACGACTCCAAATGAATGATTATGTTTCTTGGTGTGTAAATAAGCATCTTTGCTAACATGTTGGCCAAAACAGCTTTAAATGGTGATAATGTGTAATCAATCATGACAATAATGATATTTGCAGCCCTAATGTCACTGATCAGTGTTCAGTTTCCTCATACAAGTGATTTTTCTTTATTACAGATCCGTTTAGGTTCATTCTGGGTCTGACTTGTTAGAAAATAGTAATAGTCTTCAAAGTGATGCGTAACAGTCAAAAACTCTAATTTATTAGGTTTACTATCCCAGAAGACTGAGGAAGCTAGTAAATATTTACATTTGAGAAGTTGGAACCAGTTGATTTTTGGCATATCTTCATTGTTTCAGCTCTTGTTGAGATCTTATTATATAATAACCTTCTTCATCTCCTCTTCCTCCAGTGACCACGGACCCTCCATCAGGTGTGACTGTCAGTCGTGTCGGGCAGTTAGAGGATCAACTGAGTGTTCGCTGGGAGGCCCCACCCGCTCTCAAGGACTTCCTGTTTCAGGCCAAATACCAGATCCGCTACAGACTGGAGGACAGCCAAGACTGGAAGGTAAAGGACAAGGACACACAGTTATAAGGACATAAATCTGTTCTCTTGTTCTCTTACATACAAACAGATATATCACTGCAGGACTGCCCCAGCTGTTTCTCATCCTAATGCTGTAATCACCTCTAATCTAGTATGATTGAGGCCTGCTCTGCCAGATGAGTTAATAGTTGGGCCGTTCGAAAACTTTCATCACTCATAAATCTAGGAGTCAGGTTTTGCTCAGGAGAAAAAAACACAGGCCAGAGCCACTGTGTATACCTTTGTTCAAACTTTTAATGAATGAAAAATACAGTGTAAAACCTTCAGCCGTGCAGATGGTGCTTCCCAGAATTCATATGAGTCCTCTGGGTACGAGTGAAGATTCTCTAGTAATTAAGGGGGAATTACACAGATGTAAAATAAGCAAGTCTTTGCTCGCAAAGTGGAAAAAGAAAAGAAGGGGAGTGGAGAGGAGGCGGCGGAGGGATGAGACCGTTTTGAAGGAGGAGAGAGGAGACTTAAATCCAAGCGGCTTTAAGGGTTTGGTGGTGAAAACAAAACGCTGTTTCCCTCTGAACCGGCCCTAATCATGAGGTCATGCTGAGGAATGGAGGGATACATCTCAGCTGTTAATGTCTTCAATATGGCTGTAAAGACGCTCAGCGTTTTGGCTTCCCCACGTCACATCATTAGCCCTCTGATGCCTGTAATTTCCATGTTCTGTTTTCTGTTGTAGCCGCTCTTAACAAGTGTTTACAGACTGAATGCCAGAGAGAAAGTGGGGACTATTAGACATTATTAACTGCAGCGTGTGGCCGTTTCTTTCTCTCTATCTATTAGCCTGTCTTTATTTTTGCCATCTGTCTCTTTATTTGTAGGAGTACCTGTGCACGCTCCTGTGTGTGTTTCTCAGCATATCCAGCTCTGTCATTCGTAATAGAGAGCAGATTTTACCCAGCAGGCACGATTACATGAAAATATTTTCATAAACATGCTGATCAGGAGCCACTAAACAATGTGGTGTGCATGCATGTTTAGGTCTGTACATGGTTTGTGGTTGTGTTTTCTACATCTTGACTCTGCCCTGTGTTTTAGTTTATGCCCATTGGTATTTAATACTGCGGTCAGACCTCCAGCACTCAACTCTTCTGTGTTTTTTTCTAATGTAGGTGATGGATGACGTTGGGAATCAGACATCTTGTAGACTGGCTGGACTGAGACCTGGAACAGTGTACTTTGTCCAGGTATGGTACGGTGTGTGTGTGTACCATGTGTTGAAGTGTATATAATTGTGCTTCAGATTTGGCCTGTGTTCATAATCTTGTATTTTCTCCAGGTTCGCTGTAACCCCGTGGGCATCTACGGCTCTCGCAAAGCTGGGATCTGGAGTGAGTGGAGCCATCCTACAGCTGCATCCACACCCCACAGTGGTGAGCACACACACACTCACTGGACTAAATTTACTCAGAAGGCATTTTTTCTTCTTGATCTCAGTTTTTGTGAGCCTTTTGGTCCATTTTAAGAGGCAATTTGTACTCCTAGAATTTGTTTTATATCATGGCGTACCACACGTCCCACAGTTCTCTCCCACTGCTGGAAACTGGCTGCCTCATAGAAGAACACACTGGTGCTGTTTTACCCTTCTTTACCCTTCTCCCAGCCTGTTTTGTATTGTATTGGCAGTTTTATTTTTTTGGCGGGTGCATTGGTTAAATCACATCAAATCGAATCAGATCAAATCAAATCAAAATCCACAGCCAAACCAAATCTAATTATTGCCAAACCAAACATTACAAAATCAAACCAGACTATAATTATGTAATGTTTTTGTTGCTATACAAAGGGATTAAAAAAAACTGATAAAAAAGATCAATAAGGGAGACTGAACACAATTTAAGTCGTGCTGCTTGCCCTACTGGATGCAATAAAATTGTGGCTACCTGCAGTAGCCTCCCCAGACTTAACAATGAAATTGCAGAATAAAATGGTGTCAGAACTGATTAGAATAATGACCACAACTATGAAAATAAAACATGAGATGAAAAAAAATGAATTTGGGTTTCCCATTAAAGACAGGAATTTTGGAAAATGTACCAGACTGATGAGCCTGAACTTTTCATGGCTTGTAGTGTATCTAACACTGGCACACACACACACTACAAATACATCCTGCACAATGTTTAATTTTTTAGTGTAACTAAGTGCACTTAAACTTGCAATACCTGATTATTTGGCCACTTGGCGGCAGCAGAAACAAGTTGTGAAAACAACATATCACCATCTTTTAAGTTGATAACTTGTTAGCAAACAGTTGCTTATTTACACATTCAGCAGACCAATATTTCACAAAAATGTGTGTAGCAGAACTTTGTTTTGTTCTCCCACTCCATCAATCACCTTGTGACCCTTCAAATTTATGACGTGACCCGACCCCTAGGCTGGAAACCACTGGACCACCTAAGTGCCTATAAAGTTGAACTAGCTCCACCTCGACAGCTAAAGCAGTAAAATTGTACTTACCCATTGATACATCAGTATTAACAATCTAATAATGTCATATATAATAATATATAATTACAGGGGCTATTTTACTGCAGTAGTTTTACTTGAGTACTTCTTCCACCACAACACCAAAGCTAGTCTAACTCCAGTTTCTTTCTCTCCCTCCTTCTCTCCCCTTCTTACAGAGCGGTTGATGTCGGGCTCCTGTGACTCAAAGTCCAGCGGGGACTCCAACTCCACCCTGCGCAGGGAGCTGAAGCAGTTCTTTGGCTGGGTGCGGAAACACGCCTACGGCTGCAGCAGCATGTCCATGAAGCTGTACGACCAGTGGAGAGTGCTGATGCAGAAATCCCACAAAGCTCGCAACCAGGTAGGTAAGCATCACTAATGCAGGGACACACATATGTATTCAAATCTATTTACAGACATGCATTCAAAGATGTGCCGCAACAAAAGGATACACACTCAAAGTGAAGACGGTTTGTTTTATAAAAAATGCTGATTCGTAACAGATTTTGTCTTTTAATTCAGGTTCTCCAAGGGGATAAATCCTAGCACACGCTGGCTTTTCAAGCAGAAAACAACAGAAAAGAACTGAGTGAGTGTGTTTTTGTATATGTGTGTGTTTGAGAAAGAGAGATTGTATTCTTATATGGGAATTATAGGACATTTTGCTCTGGACATTTTGTGCGAATACCAGCTGTGGCCGGAGAGAAAGGACATCCAACGAGAAGCTGTGAGATTATCCTCTTTTAGGCGTCTTTTCCAGTTGACATGAGCAATTTTTTTTGTCTGAAAAGGTGCAACTGGGAGGAACTGAAAGGTGGATTTGCCATGGACATCCTGGTATCATTATTAGAAAGTGACCATGCGGACTATTCTGCTTTCTCAAAGGACGTTGTAGCATGAATAACTTGGGCATCAGTAAAGACATTTGTCATGTACCTGCTCTAAATGTGCACAGAGGTGATCAATACAGATTCAAACTAACTAGAAGTGTTGCCCCGAGCATCTAAAAGTATTCTGTGACCTTTTTTTGAGTTTCTCCTGTGGATCCAAAGCACCATCTAGTGGCTGTTCGGAGTCCATGGACACTGTGCTCCTGATGTAAAAAGAAAAAGTATCAAATTATCATACAGTATTTTCTAATTCATGCTTTGTTATATAAATGGATAATGTGCCAAACTGGTTCACCCAGCGTTCATGTGTTTCTGAGCGACAGTATGTGACTGATGACATGATGGTGTTTGTGTATGGAGACGTTTCACTGCCTTTATTTTTGTACTGAATTGTACCAGCATATTTAAAACTGTATAAAGTTATGTTTTATTTCTTAAGTTATGTTTAGTTAGTAAAGAAATATCAATGACTGAAGTTGTTTATCAATCTCTAATGTTGTTCTATAAAAATGTTGTCAGAAAACACAGGGTTTGGAAATGAGTTGTGTGCACACTACAGCAGCAAAGCAGACACTGTCAAAAATTTGCTCCTCCTGTTCTTTTCGGACAGTATGACTTACTTCTCAACATGATTTCCTGCGGGGATTGTTTGAACTGAAATAGTTTAAAACAGAAATGTATCCACGTGTCATAATATGAATACAAAATTAAATTTTCTTTTCATGTGACCCTCAAAATAAGCAGATATGCATGGAATAAATTGTGTGACTTATAGCGACACTATCAGTTTCTCCTCAAAGAAGGAAAGAAACGGAACATCTGGTCAGTAATTTGCTGCCTTCGGTTTTCTTTATCTTTAGTTAATGTTAGTATGAGATTCAAAATTTAACCATTAGGACAAAGTTGCAGTTCACCTACATTAACAGTATCATATAGGAAAATAAATGGCTTTTTTATTGCTAAAGTTTCAACATACACCAGCAGTGATCTTGATATATTTTTCCATATATATATTTTTATGCTTGTTATTCCTGCTTTGTGGTGTTTTGAACACACTTTAGCAGTCAACATCAGGTGGAAAAGTGAGCACAACAGAAGATTAAGGCCAAACTAGAACACGCTCAGGGGCTCCGCTGAGGCTGCATAATCCTCTAAATCTGTTATTTATTTTAGTTTATTAGGGGAAATTTTTATGCCTTCATTATAGATGACAAGAAACAAGGAGAAGGCATGACATACAATAAAGGTCCCCATATTACTTTTTCTCCCTTCTCCATGCACCTTGGAGGTACTGTAGGTGAAGGCCACAAATCCTTACATATCTAAAATACACAAACTCCAGTTTAGGGATATAATGTGCAAAATATATAAATGTCAAGTGAGTCAGAATAATCAAGTTTTCATCAGATTGTACTCACATGCCATCTAAATTTGCTTACCAAATTTATTTAACATTCATTGCAAGGGTGGGATATCTTGCAAAACACTCACAGATGGAAATGGGTGTTTAGCATGTAGGAGCAAACACATAAAAACACTGGCCACATGGTGGCGCTATCTGCTCCTAAATATAATTAGTTCTTCCTTGGCCTGTGGCCTAACGTTCCAACACTTTTCATTGGAATTTCTGAACGAGCTCCTGAAGACAAACAGACAATCAGAAATGAAAACTTTGGAGAGGGCGGTAAAAAGCTTTCTGTAATGAATCCAGGCTGCATTTCCTCTCCGTCCTCGGTCTCTTAAACACGTCTCACACTGCTTGCTGCATTGTCTCAGTTTTTATCAGGAGGAACTTAAGACACTGGTTGTTTCCTGTTGGTGCCCGCCTGTGTAACGGGTTCCTCTCCTGCTGGTGACCCAGCAGAGTCTTATTACTGTGACCACTGGTGGTTAATATTTAACCAGTGTGGGGTTTAACTTAGTCATGGCTCTGCTCTAAAGGCTTTAGTTACCTTCAGGGTAGAATTAGTAAAATGGGAGAGCAACGTTCTACCTGAGTTTCTCACACTGGAAAGTAAACATCTTTGTATTTGCCCAAAGTTAACTCTCCTTAGGGCTTTTCTGCCACAGTTGACACTTTTCAGATGCTGCCTGTGTGCTTAGCTAGCAGTCAAAATAGCCTTCTATGGAATATGGTGCTGTTTCCTCAACTTGTTGTTGGCTGCAAACTACTTTTTATGTCCCAAAATCCTTACAATCCCACAAACTGACATTATGTTTTGAAGTTTGAACGGAAAAAGTTGTATTTTTATTCTGTTTTCAGGAGCATGGATGCAGCTTTTCGTGGATTAAATATAGCTCATATCTACTATATTTTGTATTTATTCTCATCATTATTATCAGTCTCTTGTTGACCTGTCTGCACATTAAGAAGCTCCAGTAAAAAAAAACTAACTAAAAACTAACATA